AAAAGATGGTCGCGACATTTATGTCAAAAGCGGGTCATATTGCAACAATTCCTCTTAATGAGCAAAGAACTATTACTGCGGATTGGTATATTACCATTTGCTTGCCAAAAGTCATCACCGAACATCGAAAAATCAACCCTGAAAGAAGAATCATCCTCCACCAAGACAATGCAACCTCGCAAGCCCAAAAAACAAGGCAGTATTTAACAGAAGACAACGTGGAATTATTGGACCATCCTCCTTAGAGTCCCGATCTAAGTTCTAACGATTTCTTTACTTTCCCGAAAATTAAAAACAGACTGCGTGGTCAAAGGTTCCAGTCACCAGAAGAAGCAGTTGACGCATTCAAAAATGCCGTTTTGGATCTGCCAGCAAACGAGTGGAATAAGTGCTTCTAAAATTGGTTCGAGCGCATTACACATTACACATTAATCTCCGTGGAGAATACTTCGAAAAACAATAAAGTGATTTAAAACTACCTACCGTGTTGTTTTATTTCCATATGCAAAACTTGAAAGACATCCCTCGTATATGTTTTTTGAATATATCGATTCAATTATAGGTATCAGGAGAACTCAGAATCAGATAATCAGAAATCTTTATGCTATGTTAGTGTGTGTTTTTTACTTTTGAAACAGTCAGATTGATAGATGAATACTATACTTTAACGTAAATGTAGCAATTGTAAATTTCAAGAAGCTGGCTGAGTGCCATTTTGTACATTATTTAAATAGAATAGGGGGTCGTGTCGTTTAGGAGCTCCTAATGAGTACTTCATAACCCTACAATATAAAATCACTATCTTTCAAAATGACGATCTGGCAGGCTGTGAAAGATGAAAAATTGTTCATCAGAACGTTATAGTATGTTATAGGAAATTTTTTTGAAAACGTGATATAGGTATAGTAGATTCATTCATTTTCTGGAAGAGCATTCATTAATTTCAGATCACCAGAACGGCTTCAGAAGAAACACTAACATAGATGTCAGTTAAGTTCCTATTACCAACTTAAGGGAAAAAATTCCCGATTCGTAATGCCCAGGAAATCTAAAGCGACTTGTCTTACTACTTTTTGATCACAGTAGTAGGTCTACCATACGAGCTATTTACAAATCTATAACTAGCATTTTAAACTCACTAAATGATAAAAATGAAACAGTGGCAGTATATATTGGGTGTCTACGCGTTTGTTCAGGGTTTTAATTCTTCCAAAAAACTGCATCAGGACCCTGTTTAAAATCAAACAAATGGAAAGTTGCAAAGAAATCTTCATCAGTAAAAAAATTCTAAATGTTATTTCTCTTTAGGTATATATATTGGACGCTTTTATGTTTGTTTTTAAAAACAGAGATCTGTTTGACGATGCTAGAAGTAAACATAATCACATTGACTAGGCATAAGCAAGATCTTATCCCAGATAAGTGTAACTTCAGTTTTGTTCAAAAAATGCTCCATATACTGTTAAAATTTTTTTCAATAGTTTTCATTTGAATGTCCTAACTTTACCAGAAATTAAAGTAAAAAAGATTATCACTAATTATTTGATCTCTAAGACAGTTTATTCATTGAATGATTGTTTTGAGGATAAGGATAGACTTACTGTAGACTCTAGAGTTAATTTAGAATATTTTGTACTGCAGAGTATTATATCATTGTTGCTACTATACATAATTTTATTGATAAATGTTGACTATATGGAAAATTGCTGTAATTAAATACAAATATATTGTTCTTGTTTACGATTGTGAAGACACATGGATTCACAGTAGTTTCTAAAAATTTTTGTAATTGTATATTTCTTTTATAATTAATTTTAGCTAGCTAGCTAGCTAGCTCTTCTCTCGGCTTATGAATAAATAAGAAATTATTTATCAATTATCTATCTATCAATCTTATTTCTCTTGGAAAGGTATATCACAATATATAATAAACTATGGAGCGTTCAATCCAAAAAAATCTATCAAGTGTGTGTCCCTTATTTTACGACATATTAAGATGGACTTATAAAACAAGAAAAATGGTAAATGGAGTGAACAAATTAATGTATCATGTAAGATCCGCGACATATACGTAGGTACCTCACGTCTTTTTATGAAATTTTCATCTCGCGATACAAAAATATCATGAAAAAAATTTCATTGCACCTTAAAGTACTCGAAAAAACGGTTTCGGTGAAATTATGCCGATTTTTTAAATAACCACAGGAAATCCGATAACACTTGCATCATAATCCTGCGTAACCTCAAATGCACTATCACACATCAAGTGATTCACTTCACAGATCAAATTGCTAGATAAATAAACAAAAACCTGAGATGAATTCAAGTTTGAAAGACGCACTTGCACAATTTCGTACTAACTATTTCCTTTTTCCATCCATCATCTACCACATGCATATTTACCTTTTTTTTAACTCTGTTGGTGTATTGGGAATGTTTATCTTTATCATCCAAGGTTATGGTTAGTTTTTGTGAACATATCACTGTCAAAAATTGAAGCAAGTGATAACGGTAATTGATCAATAGATAGCGCCGCATTGTATGATATTCTTGCAAAACCCATAAAATTCAATGTGGTCGATGAGCAGACGGTCGTCACTAGCTAGGATCGTCATTCGACATTTGGTGGAGGCGCCAGCCAGAAGTCGGATGACACGGAGTTGTTTTAATGGTCAACTTAGTTGTTGACCAGTTTTCTCTCCAACCAAAAAAAGAAACATTCTAATCCAAACATAATATTCTCTTTCAGGTTTAGCATGAGTAGCTTAGCAACAGTAGTTTAGTAGTTGTAGAGTAGTGGGAGTAGTTAGTGGTGGGCCCCCAATAAAACACATACAGTTCTTGGTTCGGGCCACATCAAGTGGCGAACTAGGACCGGCTCAAGGCACGTGTGTTTCTTTAATGCGGAACCAGTCGTGTTTCTGTCGAATTTGCATATTTAATGCATAAGAACTATAGAAGTGGTAATTCAAAAGCGCCAAAAAGGTTTTGTTGATCAATTAAAGAAAAACATATCGATATAATAGTGGAGATATACTTGCAGCCGAATTTGAAATATGTATATACAGGGTGTTTCAGAACTACAGGATCAAACTTGTAGGGATTATTCAGTGAACAGTCGAAAATATTTGAGTATTGGGACCCATATCCGGAAAAGTATCACTACGGCCCTAAGACGCGTTAAAATTTAGAAAGACGATGAATTGCCTAAATAGAATTTACTTTTGTACGTGATATCATCACAACAATTGTTCAAAATGTCTTCCTCCAACCTGAATACACCGATTTAAATGTCGTACATGATTTCGGCGGACTTGACTAAAAATTTGATACTCGTTTTGAATGATTACAAATGCTTGCTGTTGATATAACGAAAGCGTTCGATCAGCTTTGGCACGCTGCCCTCTTATACAAACTTCCATCCTATGGCCTCCCAGAAAAGCTTTGAGATTGGTGGCTGGCTTTCTCTCTGGCCGCAAGATATCCGTCGTAATTGACGTCAACGCGGGTGTTCCCCAGGTGATCGGTCTTGGCTCCGACACTGTTCCTCAACATATCAACGACCTCCTTTCCGACACGATCAATGCAGCTTCGCTGATGACGGTACTCTACATGCAGGAATTTGGAGTGACAGGTCGATCTCTGCCGCTGAGATGGAAAAAAGAAGACTGGCGACGACTTCATCTCTGACGAGAGACCTGGAGCTTATCACTGCTTGGGCACGCAACAATTTTGTACAGTTCAATGCTTCCAAAACATTACTGTAGTTTGACGAACAAAAAGCATCCTAGCGCTCATCCGGTTTCGACGGCTCGCCGAGTTCTGTCAAAGAGCCGTTCATTTCGGCTGGTCGGAGTTCAGATCACCGAGGGCTTGATCTGGCACGAGCACATGTCGTCAATAGCGATAGCTGCTGAGAAAAATAGCCTACTATTTGCTAAGAAGTACTTTTCTCCGCACGACCTTCTCGAGTATTTCTTACAGAGGAGGGATGTCCGACTGATTGATGACTGTTTTTCTAAGAGACAGTCTCGGGACCCTTCCGCACCGGTGGGCCGTCTGCTTTCTAGCTCTCTTCTACCGCTACACCAACGGGCTTTGCTCGTCAGAGCTCTCTTCCATGATGCCGCCGGGTGAATTGCCTGCCAGACAGACCCGCCTGAATTTGGCCTCCCATCGTAACCGTGTCGAACTTCGTACGTCCATAACTGGCCGATACGATCGCTCCTTTCGCCATTTTGAGATATTGTTATTTGTTATTATACCGTTATAAAGTACTTATTAATAGAGTTTCAATGGGGTATTACACAACCCTTTGTCCCGCTTAAAAATGTTACAAGATTACGACCAGCCGCCATTTCGAGATTTTCAACTGCTACTTTCACGCTAAGATATGGGTATTCATGTATCAATTTTCTTGCTTCAAATTTCAACTTGTAAGCATATATGAAAAAAAAACTCATCATTGGAGCTAGTACCAGCTCTTTTAACTATAGAGAACCTACAACAAAGTCGTATTATCCTTTTTCTTTTGAATAAACGGACTTGGTAATGTTCAGGCAGGAATTCAATGGGTATTGAATCACCTCCATGAGAACAACTGACCTAATTAACCCTTAATTACACCTAAAAATAAGCAATTTTCTTCTTGGTTCAGCCCATTGAATATACTCCGAATTATGTTAATCAATTTTTGACGTCACAAAATCGCTCTAAAAGCCTATTCTTTGACCATATTCAACTACTCACACCTAGCACTTTAATAATCTGTCCCACCAATATTTCTGAAGATGAAATCATAGAAGACAAACACTAAATACAGGTCGTTGCAGACGTTGTTATGAAAGCTGAAGTCGAAAGGTGAAATAAAGAAAATATTACGAGGGATGTCTTTTAAGTTTTGCATATGGAAATAAAACAACTGGTAGGTAGCATGCGCTCGAACCAATTTTCGAAGCACTTATTCCACTCGTTTGCTGGCAGATCCAAAACGGCATTGAATGCGTCAACTGCTTCTTCTGGTGACTGGAACCTTTGACCACGCAGTCTGTTTTTAATTTTCGGGAAAGTAAAGAAATCGTTAGGCCTTATATCGGGACTATATGGAGGATGGTCCAATAATTCCACGTTTTCTTCCATTAATACTGCCATGTTTTTTGGGCTATGTGCGAACTTGCATTGTCTTGGTGGAGGATGATTCTTCTTTCGGGGTTGATTTTTCGAAGCTCGGTGATGACTTTTGGCAAACAAATGGTGGTATACCAATCCGCAGCAACAGTTATTTTCTCATTCAGAGGAGTTGTTGCAATATGACCCGCTTTTGACACAAATGTCGCGACCATCTTTTTCGAAACACTTCGAGAACGGATGACTTTTGGTTGGCTTTTCTTCACCTTGGAACACCCAAACAGCCGACTGTCGTTTATTTTCTGGTTCATAACAGTAAATCCACGATTCATCACCACTAACAATGCTGTACACATTTTTTGAGTTTCCGGAATTGAAACGGTCAACCGTTTTTTGACACCAATTAACCCTGGCTGCTTTCTGCTCTTCACTCAACAGGTGGGGTATCCAACGAGTAACTAATTTTCTTACTCCTAATTCTTCATGTAAATGTTTTTGAATTGAGGTCTTTGAGATCTTCAAGGACGCCTCAATCTCGCAATATGTCACATGTCTATCTTCAATGATGAGTTTGCGCACAGCATCGACGTTTTCCTGGGTGAATGCCGTTTTTGGTGCACCCATTCTGGGATCGTCGCTAATACTCATCCGTCCACGTTTGAATTCTCCATACCAACAGACAGTAACTCAGCAAGGCATTCTTGTTGCGATAATTGTCTCTGAAAGTTGTAATAAATTATGGCGCGAAAATGTTCTCGGTTGAATTCCATTTTTCTAATGACTTGGTGACACTTAAAAATTCACTGTAGTGAGAACACTGCACGTATTGTTGTGAAACTTTGAATTTAAGTTTACTAAAGAGTGAGGTCAAGATTCAGTACTGACGTTCGATCCGCGCAGCCTACTACATTTCTAAATATATGCAAAACTTAAAAGACATCCCCGTATCTCCGAGTTTTCCATGAAATTTATGTCTAAAATATTGCCCAGTTTTTTTTTTAAATAATGCAATTTTCTTCATTGGTTCTGCTCTCTAAGATCTATTCGTTATATTCATTAAAAAAATGTATCAAGTAGATTGACTCTGTAGTTTCCACGCAATTATGGAGAAACGGACTGTGAATATAAAACAAATAATAAGTCAAATTTGGATTATAAACGACAAAAATACAACGGGTTCAAAATAGTTGCTGTATGCTGGTATACTGAATCAGGAAGTATGACTCTATATCACGCAAAATGAAAGAGTGCCTATGTAACTTTACTTCAACTCTAATTAAATATTTCACACCTCGCAAAGATGCTCATCATTAAAATAAAAAGGACCAGGACCACCATGTTTCAATGATCATTCATATTATATAATGCGATTAGGATATACTCCTATAATCAGCTTCCACAAGAATTCAAACTTCTAAACATGAACAAATTAACTGTATTTGCTTGACAGTACCAATGACAGTACCTTTTAAAATCAGTTATAGTTAGTTATCAAGTCTTTTTTCAACACGCTTTTATTAGCTTGGCCTGAATGTATGTAATGGAATCTTTGAGCATAATTTTTACCAAATTCCAGAAGTTTGATTAATTTGAAACTTCGCACACGTATCGAGGACCGATGACAATGCAATAAAAGTTTTCCATTATCCTTATAAATAAAATTCTGTAAAGAGGAGATATGATAATAAAAAGCCACGGATTTCAAATGCCGCTTTACGAATAGTCAAACTACAAGCCTCTGTAGCTCAGTGGCAGAGCACTGGTCTTGTAAAACAGGGTTCGTGAGTTCAATCCTCACAGGAGGCACATTATGGTATACCTTTTTTTAATTTTTTTAGCACGCTTTTATTAGCTTGGCCTGTAACGGAATCTTTGAGCATGATTTTCACCAATTTCCAGAATTTTGATTAATGGAAATGCAATAATTTTATTTATAGCTAAAAGTAAAGTAAAAGTAGAAAATAATTTTCAATTACAAAGAGTTTATATACAGTAGTAGATGGTCGAACAATCAGTTATCATTAATGACCTGGCATTAAAATTATAATAAAATTTAAGTTATTAACAGAATAGTTCAATTCAGAGTAAAAACCTAAATTAATACATTTGGTTTCAATGCAAAATCCTTTACTAAAGTTCTACTAATTACGGTGAAAAAAAATTACCAGACTGCATGACACATGAAATTAGCTATTGAATGCTATTTTCAAAATAGTATAACATTTGTAGGTTCTTTTTACTAAAAACTGAATAATACTTGCGAAATATTACACATAAAAAATAATAAATGCAGCTGCTTTTTGTGTCCAAATTACAACTTTGTAGTTGCTGTAATCGCTTTTTATTTTAGCAATTGTCTAAAACAGCTATCCATTATCCTTTTTTATCCATTGTTGTATGCATGCATCAAAATAATGAACAGAACATTCGATTGTATTTTTTTTATTTCCATTGAGTTCTATCACATTCAGGTGGTACCGCGATTACAGCGATTACATGTGTTAGTTTCAAAATTTTAGGTAGTTTAACAATTTTAAGCGTATGTCGCAAGCAACAGCTTGCAAACCATGTATATTTGGAATCAGAAGAAAGCTGCCAAATTCTTTATTGAGACATAAAAGAGACATTGCCTGATAAAGTTAGTATAAAATTTGGTATATATACCTTTTTTTCTAGAAGGACGTTATGGTAGTCATTATTGAAATGAGTAATAGGGGTGTCAAAAAAAGTCAAAAAGTTCATATGACCCATGGTCCCAAAGTCAATAGATTTTTGTCTAAATGGCTTTATCGTTTGCAACATTAAGTGCTTTATATCGACCACAATTACCACAATCTTAGTAATTTTTATAATCTGATCTAAAACGTTTTTTTAATTGGGTAATTAACAAATAAGTGTTTTTTCTAAGTTAAGCCAAAATTTCTAGTCAGTAAGTAAATAAGTTTAATTTAATTAAATATTTAAAACACACATGACAACAGCGCGTCGGTCTTTCATCACTCTTATCGAACCGGCAATCGATCGCAAACGGTTACAGTGGTTAGTTATCGTTTTGCATAGATAAATTACTATCGTTATGTCGAGCAGAGCATCGAGCGTGTTGTTTTGTTTTTGTTCGCGTACGTCGTCGTGTTTATTTACAATGTTCTCGAATCAAGAGTTCGCCGATATGTTGTTAGTTTACGGTGAAGCTCGTCAGAATTCAAATCAATGCAGATACCAGCATTCGGGAATTAGGCCGCCGCGTAGGACTATCGCATACCATGTACAACGAGTGCAGACCTTGTTACCAGAAGACTATCCTCGCAGACTAACATTCTGTCAGTGGTTTTTGCACAAAAACATTGAAAATCCGGATTTTTTTAAAAACATTCTAGCGGACGAATGTACTTTTACGCGAGACGGGATATTAAATTTCCATAATACTCACACGTGGGTTCAAGAAAATCGTCATACCATTCGTGAAGGTCATTTCCAACAACGTTTTAAAATAAATATTTGGGCGGGTATTCTTGACGATCAGGTAATTGGCCCTTTCGAGTTACCCCCAAAGTTGTCAGGAGAAGGATACCTTAGCTGTCTAGCCAATAACCTACCAGAACTTTTGGAGCAGACCTTAGACAACGTGCCATTACAACGGATACAGAATTGGTGGTTTCTTCATGACGGGGCACCACCACACATTTTTAGAGGCGTCATTCAGTATTTGAATGAACATTATCCAAATCGCTGGATCGGTCGAAATTCTCTTGATCCTCGAAAATGGCCTGCAAGATCTCCTGACCTCAATCCGATGGATTTCTGGTATTGGGGAGAACTTAAAGGGATGGTTAATAACAACTGAAGCACAACTTCGCGAAACAATTTTTAATGCGGCTGAAATAATAAATGGACAACTTCGACGACCTAGATAAGAAGAAACTGGGTTCGTCGTAATGAAGCTTGTTTAGAAAGTGGAGGACGACATTTTGAACACCTTCTTTAAATATAAAAAAAGTGCGGTGTGGGTTTTAAAAAGAAGAACAATGTATGTATCAAAATTGTGTTCCCTATTTATAAGTGGATTTTTTTAATACATTCAATAAACTTTCACACACCAGGTGAAGCGCTGAGACAGTGGTAAGTCCGTTTTTTTAATTGTTTGGATTTTACGAATACATTATCAAATAATGAAATAATACCAAAGAGCCAAAAATAACAAACTCCATCTTTATTTACACTACGTTCCGTCGTAATTTGCGACTGGCATTGCGGCGTTGTCAGATTTTACTTTACTTTAAAGTCGATTTTCTCTAAAAAATGCTGTTTTGACCCTCATGTTATATGAAACTTTTTGCTTCTTTTCACATCCTCTATCAACCATTTAAATAATGACTATCATAACGTTTACACCCTGTATAACAGCCAGAAACATATCTGATTTTCGAAATTTTATAATAATAGCTTTATTTTCCAACATTTAGCTCGCATCTTGACAAAAAGTGCTTCTGAAGTAAAGTAAAATCAGTGAATTCAAGACATTGATACCATTTTCCGTAAAAACCAGGAGTCTTAATTCCAACGCCACTGGACAAGGAAGTATTGCAATCGCGAGAATTTTTGAAAATGTGATATGGTTTTTGGATGTTATATGACATGTAAGTGATGAAAAACCATATCACTAATTTCCGTCTGTCTGTCTGTCCGCTAATCCTTAAGCCTCAAACCTATAACCCGGGAAGTACGGCTCGGGTTTGGATGAAACTGACACACAAAGTCACTACCATGAAAGGACGCAAAAGCTTTATAGTTGTTCAGATTGGCCTAATGATTGAACGGTAACTTGATACAGCGGTGTCGCCTAGATGTGGAAAGGGACAACGTTGCCAGATGGACAATAACAACCGGTAGGGCAGAAAAAGGATGTCTATGGATTAATTGTA